GCAACTAATTGTTTTTTTGTATTTTTTGCATAGGGTGACAAAGCAATGACAATTTACAAGACAAGAGTAACACCAAAAGGACAACCTTTTAAGTTGCATCATGCTTGGGACGTCCTTAAGGATTGTCCGAGGTGGGGAACCAATGCAGACCAATAATAGGAAAGATTATTTCAATGTGAAGTTGCATCGAAAAATGATGGAGATGAAGGTGTCAATGAAAGTGGTGCTGAATTGACAGCAACTTCTCTTTTGCAAGGCCCCTGGGAAGAGATAAGAAAAAGGAAGCAAGAGAAAAGGGAAGTCCCAAGATCCGATGAGTGCACAAATTGCTTCCGGATTTGCAAGATTGACCGAAAGCCATAGCTCTCAGCAAGAAGCGGCCCAGATGTGTTTGGCCATAAAGGAAGAAGGGGATAGGGAGCAAGAGAGGTTCTAAGTTAATTTCATGATAGAGGACATCAACAAATACACTCAAGAGAGGAAGAAGTTCTTACGTGGTAAGCAAAATGAAATTTTGTGAAAGTATACCACAAGGAGTATATTTTAAGATGATGATTCATCTCAAGGCTATATCCCAAGTCCACCACCAAATCAAGATGGTGGATATCATTATTAAGTTTATGTAGTTTTAATGAATTATCGATTGTATTAAGTTTATGTGGTTAATGTGGTTTATGAATGGTCGTTTGTCTTAAGTTTATGTGGCTTATTAATTGTCGTGTGTATTAAATTTAAGGCTTATTAATTATCGTTTCTATTAATCTAGATGCCTTCAATAATTATTGTACTTATTATTGCACACTTTGATGTACAATTGATGCCTTCAATAATTCAAACGACATTCAATAATTTTGACAATGTACTAGACAAAAGACTTTGCATAAGAAGGCACTTCAATTTATTACTAGAAAATACCAACATAGTACACTTAAAATTATTACATAAAATAAAAAAATAGCACACTTAAATTTAACACAATAATATACCAACATCATCAACGTTCATCTTCTTGGCACCATATATGCTCAACCAAATCCTCACGGAGTGTGTCATGACCTTGAGGAACTTGAATTCTATTTAAACGTCTCATGACCTTATCCTATCGGGTCTCGTATGTGGTTGCAATGAGATATTCAACATCTCTTGCCATAGCTTTTGCATGTGTTGGTTGGTCGTCATCCACGTCTTCGTTAGAATCTTCTTCAATTTTGACGTACTCATTTTCCACAATCATGTGGTGCACAATTATGCACGTCATCATGATTGAATGAAGGTCTTTGACATGCCACAATCGTGTAACCCTTCTAACAATGGCCCATCAAGCTTGTAGAATCCCGAACACTCTCTCCACATCCTTCTTATAAAAGTCTTGCCTCTGCGAAAATAATTTCTTCTTCGTACTATTGGGATGAAAATAACTTTTTACAAAGGTAGACCAACTAGGATAAATACCATCGGTTAGGTAGTAACCTAGCTCATGTTTATTACCATTTACCTTGTACCCCTATTCCGGTGCCTATCCATTTACAACATCATCGAACAGAGGAGAAGACCAAAGAATGTTGATATCGTTATTTGATCCAAGAACGCCGAAGAATGCATGCTAAATCCATGTGTCGTAAGACGCCACAGCCTCGAGCATGATGGTTAGCTTGTTGTGTCGGCCCTTAAATTGGCCAGCCTAAGTAGTAGGACAATTCTTCCACTCCTAATGCGTACAATCGAGACTTCCTATCATGCCAAGGAAGCCTCTTTTGTCTGCCGTGCGTAAAAGCCTCTTCAAATCTTCACGGTTTGGCTTGCGGAGATATGTGGCTCCATATATGGCTTCAATTGCCTTATAGAAGCGTTTTAGGTTCTCACTAGCAGTACTCTCCGCAAGTTAGCAATACTCGTCAGTTAAGTATGCAGAGCATCCATTAGCTAGCATCTAAAATGTAGATGTGAGCTTTTGATGAGGTGATAGACTTTGTCGGCCTACGACATCTATCTTCCTTGCGAAGTAGTGGTCATGATTGACATCTGTGTTTAAGATGCTTTCAAAAAGCTTTCTCTTCATCTAAAATTGCCTCCGAAAATCATGGGCAGTATATCTCAGACGTTCAATGAAATAATCTTTCATGATTTCATCACTCGGTCATGACACTCTTCTCTATCATGCTGCACAAATGAACGCCCCGTGATAAAACCACGATAGCTAGATTCGGCATGGTGCTCATATTGCATGAGTGAGTTTGCCAATTCGGCTTTTGCGTTGTTCATTTCTGCATTCGCATGATCAAGGCTTGCTTGGTATTATGTCATCTGCATTGCCAAGCTACACCTTCTTTTATCACCCATTTATGAGATATTGAGGATTTTTAGGAAACAAGAACACTTTGAAAGTTGAAAAATTGGTGAATATGTTGTGTGATGGTTTGATATTCAACTTGTGTTTATATAGAGGATGATTGAAGGCTTGTGTTTCATATGTGCAGGTTTGTGTTTCATGTGTTTTGTATGTATTTGGTCTGTGTTTCATGTGTGTCATGTGTTTCACATGTTTGGTATGTTATACATCTATATCATGTGTTTTGTATGTATTTTGGTATGTGTTTCATGTATTTCGCATGTTTGATGTGTTATATATCTCTATCATGTCTTTTGTTTGTGCTTCATATGTATTTTGTGTGTCTTGTGGGTTTCATGTATTTTGTGTTTATACGTCTCTATCATGATTTTCATATTCTTCCGTAATGTTTCATGAGTTTCATGTATTGATTTAGTGATTTTTCAAAATTTATCGAAATTTAAATATTTTTAGGTTAAAATGCGCATAAAATTAATTTAGGATAGTCTATATAATTTTTTTAAAAAAGTTAATTGAAAAATGAAAAATAGCTTAAATTCATTCTTTAATAATATGGGGCTAAATTTTTTTTCCAGAAGGGTTGGAGTAGAAAAATTGTTTCTGAGCTAAAACCTAAATTTTTTGGGCTAAAAATTTTAGGTTTTAGGCCAAGGGTTGGAGATGGTAGAGTAAAACTCAATTTTTAAGTTCTAAATTTACCTGAACTTGCTCCAACCCTTGGGGCAAACATGAGTTTTAACCCAAAATTCATTTCTGCTGTTAAAAAATTTAGACTTTAACTCAAGGGTTGGAGATGGTCTAAATGATAATATTTTTCATTCTTTAAAAAAAGGTTTAAATGTTAAAATGGTCTCTGTGTTTTAGTCATTAGGTCAATTTAGTTCCTGTATTTTCAATTTTGGCTAATTTGGTCCTTGTGTTTATCTTTGTTAGCCAATTAAGGGCATTTCCATCTAATTTCTGTAAAAAAAATTATAAATTTATTATAAACTTATTTATAAAATATTTATTTGATTTAAAATATTTAAAAATGAAATAAAATTAAAAATTAAAAGAAAATTATTCTGCTCCCAACTCCCCGACCTCTTCCCTAACATAGCCCATTTATTTTCTATGTCACAACCTTAATCATTTTTCAGATTAGAAACTTTATCTCTTATATGTATTTCTCATTAATTTACATTTTTTTTTATAAAGAGAAAGGGTAATTATATCTCATATAATTTTTTTTATGAATTTTTAAAAGATATTGAATTAAATGTCCTTAATTGGCTAACAGTGACAAACACAATGACTAAATTAGTCAAATTGAAACCATAGAGATTAAATTGGCCATATGACTATAACACGTGGACCATTTTGACATTTAAGCCTTAAAAAAATCTCAATTATAAACAAAAACACGTATTCAATGACCTCCGACATATTAATTGTACATTATTTTTGTAATATCTCTAATATATGTGAGACTTTATTCTCCAACACGATCTTTTATGAGTGACACTAGACAAGGTCACATATACGGAAACCCATTTTCAACATTAGAAATTAGTCAATTCATTATAACCAAACAAACAAAATTTTTTGAGAGTCCAATCATCATTCATTCGCTAAAGCCAACAAAACTTTTAAAGACTCAATTATTTATTTAATACCCTTAAACTGGAGCTAGTACAACTTTTGAAAGAATCCAACTAACTCTACAAGAAAAATGACCTTTAGGCACAAAATCAGGGACACAAATAAGGTGTTTGTGCCTGTTTAAACACTAATAAGGTGGAACAATGCTCATTTTGTAATGGGCACCATGAATTGTGCGCAATGTTAAGAAAAGTGGACACAAACATATTATTGGGCACAGAGCCATAACTTTGGTGCCTCTAGGTATCGTTTGGTATGCAAACAGAACGGGATGAGACAGGATGGGACGGAACGGAGCGGGAGCAAAGATGCCCTCGGATGGAAACAAGGAGGAAGAAGAAGGAGACGGAGATGTTATAGTTTTGTGTTCCACGGATGTGGAACGAGTCGTTCAAGGGGGTGAGGTGGAACGAAAATTCACCCAAAACTCGTCTTGTGGAACAGCTCGTTCCACCCGTTTTAGGAGCACCAAACGTGGAATATAACGCTTTGTCCCACTTTATTCCGTCCCGTCCCACGTACCAAACAGTACCCTAATGTCAGCAATGAAATTTTTTTATTAATTTGCAATGACACCATAAATGTTATTGTGTCGTATAATTTAATATATTTAAAGTCAAGGTAGATTTTTTGTGCCCTTTGATTAAAATAATGTGTGCTCTCTGGTATCGTTTGGTATGCAGACGAGACGGGACGGGACGGAATGGAATGGGACGGGACGGGACGGAACGAAACGGAGCGGGAGCAAAAATGCCCTTGGATGGAAACAAGGAGGAAGAAGAAGGAGACGGAGATGTTATAATTTTGGGTTCCACGGACGTGGAACGAGTCGTTCCAGGGGGGTGAGGTGGAACGAAAATTCACCCAAAACTCATCTTATGGAACAGTTCGTTCCACCCATTTTAGGCGCACCAAACGTGGGACGGAACGCTTTGTCCCACTCTGTTCCATCCCGTCCCACGTACCAAACGGTACCCTCTCTCTCGCTCTAACATGTCGGATCTCTCTGCACTCTCACATCTCCTCCTCTACAATGTCAACAGCCTCGGACTCAACATTCTCTCTAATCCCTCAAAATTCTCTGCACTCTGTGCTCTCCTCCTCCTCCTTGTCCTCCTCCTCCTCCTCAACCATGTTCCTCCCTCTCATATACTTCCTCTTCCTCTTCACTTTCACGCAACACCGCCGCCGTCCACAGGTCACCAACGGCCGCCGAATTAAACTCCCAGAATCATTTTCCGTCCTCTTTCCAAGCCCCAAGTTAGTTTCTACAGATTCGTAACCGAATTTCCTCAATTTCAGATCTAAGAAACGGTGATCATTGGTTTTCCGGCCAATTTTTGGCCAAGCCTGTCAAAATTGGACCTCGACCTAAGAGATCAGTGAACAGCTTCTCGGTGTCCACAGAGTGCAAGCAAGGTGAACTTCGTCGGTTGGTTATGGCAGTTTTTTGGTGCGTACCATTTCGTTCCTGCCATATGGGTAACGTCATTCCTTTCTTGATTAGAATTATTGACTTCTATTGGTATTCATGAGTGATAGCAATTCTTTGTTTGAGATGGGTAATCTTGGTTGAGAAATTTGTTCTAATCAGCTGTAAAATATGGTCGAAAGTTTGTTGTCCTTGGAAGTCCATGGCTTGGAATCGTCGGGGTTGTTCCCGGCAATGATATTTTGTCAAGCTTATCGAATAAATTATCTTGATGTTTTCTGTTGTATCTCGAATAAATTTGTCATTTGCTGTTGCATCTCATGGTCAGTGTGGGGGTTTCCTGTTATTAAGGAACTCTATTTCGGTTAATTTTAAGAATACTAAAAGTTCGGATATGTTTTCGGATGAAAGGTGGCCTTTCTTTTTTTATATTGGAGGGGTGTTGCATAAAATTTGATACCTGCACGGCTGCACACAAGTCAATAACATGAAACATGGAGGGTGTGTAAATCCATCCGTCTCAGAGGTTTTGGGTTTCATATATATAGTCAATTATCGTACGTTCAAAGTTTGTTATTGACCAAAAGAAAGAACTAAGTAATTGATTATTAATCAACTGATGATAAAGTAACCTATTTTGTAAAATGTTGGTAATTCTAGTTTTGTAGACTGTAAGTTATGGAGATATGTGACCTTTTCTGAATTAATTCGAGGGATATTACAAGCGTACACTGGTGTTGAAAATTAAATTGGATTGCTCCGCTCTCTCAGTGTAAGTACATCTCTGCATATCTTTATTTCCTCAATTGTATTTAACTTTGTTATGTTGAGTTGCCAAATTAAAGATATTGCACTAACTTTTCGATACCACATTAAATCTGGAACGTGCGAAACATTAAATTTTGAGTGTTAATTATTGAACAGGGGCTGCATGTTAAATTTGTAAACATCCACTGTAATGGTTTGGGGCTTGAGAGTTGTACCAAATCTCTTTTTCTTATTCTCATGTGCATGTCCATGTGTAGACCTTTTTGTAGCTTTCTAAGTTTGGGTTTTTCTTGATGTGTGCTTACGTGGTTTGGGATTACTTTCCTTTGCAGGCCTGGGTATTATATAAAGCTTTGCGCTTTCAGATTAAGGTAAAGTTTGATTATATCTTATAGTTAATTCTGATGCCCATCGCAAGGTGTATAATTTTTTTCCATTACACTTACGTGTTCTATCAATTAAATCCAGACCAACTACTAATCTCCTAAGTTCTTTAAATTCGGGTTTGTTATATGTTGTAGGAAATGACATATTTTGAGATATTCTGCATCTTTCTTTCTTTAGTTCTTTACATTTGAAAGAGTGAGAATTATATTGTTGGGACTTTGGATTCTATTTTTATGTCCTAATTTGACATTTAAGCCTTAAAAAAATCTCAATTATAAACAAAAGCATGTATTCAATGACCTCCGACATATTAATTGTACATTATTTTTGTAATATCTCTAATATATGTGAGGAGACTCTAGAAGTTCAGTCTCTTTGCACCCAAGTTCAATATCCCTCCCCGTACATTAGAGTAATTTAATTAGAATACCGTCTTGTTAGTAAAGAAATTATATCACCTAAAATTATCTCGAAGGTAAGACACTCCTCTGGGGGTAATGAGATGAAACTCCCAAAAAGGAAAAATAGTTTATTTATCATAGAGTTTGTTAACTTCTGCTTATACACAATTCATGTGATCATATCCCATCTTAACGATAGGAAAGCAATGCTAGTACAATTATCAAAGATAAGACTAAAATTAACAAGGCATACCCGAACTTATAGCTATTCAATCTATAGATACTTGAACAAGGTTAACTTTCATACCTCACAAGCTGCACAGATTTATCTGGCATCACCAATCTTCAGTTGTGAGAATACTTCGTTTCCTGCCGTGTCCGATTCGTCCACCCCGGAAAATGTCATATCATCTTGGTTAACTGTAGAGCTATGGGAAGGAAAATGCTGAACGTTTGGCAATACGAATTCTGATGAAGCATTGATTGTGCTGTCCTCGTGGGGCTCTCTATGCTTTGCAGTTTGCTGGAGCTGTAATGCGTACTCCAAGTCCCACAGTACATCACCCATTGTAGGCCTATCATAAGCATCGTCTTGCAAGCATTTCTCTGCTATCTCGCTAAATTTTCTTAGCGAGCTAGGATCAATCTGACCCTTGAGTGAAGAATCAACAATCTGTTCAAGCAATCCGTTCTTCTTGCAATTCATTCCCCAGTCTGCTAAATTTATTTGCTCTGTTGGTAGATTCCTATCCAGAGCAGGTCTTGCACATAACACCTCAAGGAGAACAACGCCGAAGGAGTAAACATCTGATTTTTCTGTCAACTGTTGAGTCATTATGTACTCAGGATCTAGGTAACCAAAAGTGCCTTTGACATTTGTGCTGACATGGGTTTCATCAAGTGGACCAGATCTTGAAAGGCCAAAATCAGCAACTTTGGCGACACATTTTGCATCTAACAAGATGTTGGTGGACTTCACATCGCGGTGAATGATGCCTCCGGCTGCACCTTTGTGGAGGTAATTAAGACCCCTTGCTGCACCAATGCATATTTCAAGTCTTTGCTTCCATGACAAGCGAGGCAAATTTGATTCATATAAATGTTCTCTCAAGGTCCCTTTTTCCATGAACTCGTAGACCAATATCATCTCAGACCTTTCATCACAGTACCCAATTAAGGAGACAAGATGGCGATGACGAATCCTGGACAAAACCATTATCTCTGTTTCAAACTCTGGAAGCCCTTGACCTGAACTATGTTCATGTCGCTTACCTCGCTTGACAGCTACAATTCTGCCATCTGATAGAGTTCCTCTATAGACGTTCCCAAATCCACCCTTGCCTATCAGAAATTTTGTGTCGAAGTTGTTCGTTGCTTGCTGAAGTTGAGCAAAAGATATCTTCAACCCAAGATTTAGATAAGTCATAGGGGAGCCAGTAATCGTTCCCTCAGTGAACCTGCTGCGGGTACTCCCTCCTCCAAATGCAGGCATTGGTGACCATTCCGAAGTTTCAACATGCTTTGCCTTTCTGTATTTCAAACCCAACAAGAACCCGACAACCAAAATGCAGATAAGAGACAGACCTCCAAGAACCGAACCAACCACAACAGCGACATTTATGCTCTTGGACTCTTTCATATTTGGAATTGGTGCTGATTCCTCCATTATTTCCAACATTTCCAGTCCATTTAGAAAGGAATTGTTAGTGGTAGTTTCTTCTGCGTTAGGACCTATGCTGATGCTAATGAGTTCAGACTCCTTAGACTCCACCACAAAATCATAGTAGTAAGGCAACTGGTTGAGAAAAATGGAATTGGATCCACCGACCTTCTTAGTGAAGTTTCCATTTGAATACAAGTTAAAAACAATGGTGGCAGCAGTTCCGCCAACAGCGTCATAAAAGTGTGCCCGGACGAGATGTTTAGTGTTCCTGCGCACATTAAACGACCAGGTTATGTTGAACAAAGTGGATGGGTTGCTAGTGCTACTACTATTGTCCATTACTTTGGCAGTCTCGTAAACTAAATCTGGGGCAATAAAATGATTAGCAGCAGCAACGAAACCATCCTCTTCATACACCTGGTACTTAGGCGTCTGTGAGGGTCCAACTTTCCCTCCAGGGTTTGAATTCGTCAGATGAAGATCATCAGAATCCCAGTTTCGCCATAGTGTGTCCTCATCTGGTCTGAGTTCTTGACCTCCAACATTCACCCTGTAAATTGTATGTAGCACTAAAGGGGAACTACTCGTGTAATTCTTAGGGCTGAAATTTGCAGGGGCAAGGAAGACTTCAATGGCATTTACAAATGCAAAAGACGATCCACGAGGGGTAAAGTATATCCTAAATGAGCCAGGATGAATGCCCAGAAAGAACTCCTTTATCGTAGAATTGCTAGTACTATTCTTAGCAGTGAAATTCTTCAACAGCATGAATCCGGGATTCGAAATATTAGGAAAAGCCGAAACATCAAAAAGAGCAGCGGAGAGATTACTTGAGGAAGAGGCGAAAGCCAAGAAATGCAAACGTACAAAATAAGTACCGTTTTCAGTGATGTCGAACTCATAGTAGGATTCTTGCCTGAAAATTCTTGCTGTAAGGTTAAGATTCGACTGGTTGCCGCCATTGATACCGTTGCTCGCCTTCGAGTGGAAGAAACGATCTGCAATGAAGACACGGCTATTGAGGGTGGCATTAGCATTTGACCCACAGTTGATGAAGTACTTATCAGGGGGCTCATAAGCCAACGAGGGAAAGTGAAGGGATGAGAGATGGAGGAGAAAAACAATCACAGAAAATAGAGGGAGAGGGGTTTTACGGATACGAAGATTTTCCATGAAAATTTGATGGAGTTGCTGAATTTTGCAAGTGTTTAGGCTATGGAGTTGTATCTGAGTGACCATGTAAATTATTGAAGTAGGAAGACTTGGAACAGAACAAGTGGTGGACTTTGAAGTTGAAATGCCAACCACTTGAAAAATCAAGGGAAAATAACGGTAGATTCTTGGAAATACCCTTTATATTTGATAGGCTGTAGATATACAGGAGAGGATATTTTGGGTGTTTTATTTGTTTCTTGTGAAGGACAACTACATAATTGACTGATGCATCTTCCACTAGCATCAAGTTTGGTGACTGCTTCTTACTGTTCTTCTGCATTTGGATGAGAACAAAGAACTTGACTACATTTACTGCAATATTAGGACTCTACCTAGATATTTAATAAATTAGAAGAGAATACAAAAACAAAAAAATAAAAGTTGAAAACAAAATGGTTATTCAACGGGTTTGTAAAGAAAAATGCTCGTAAATGAAGTTACGCTAATGCCAAACCAACAGAACACACAACTTAATCCAGTATATAACTTTATTATCTCAAATTTGCATAAGAAAAATTGATTGGGAAAATACTTGCTTGGGCACATCATCTTCCTCAAGACAGAAGCTACTAGAAGAAGAAGACGCAAATGCTGAAATTGGGCAATGCCAACTTCATAAGGTAAATAAAGGAGAAAAAAAGGCATAACAGGGTAAGAAGGCTAAAGCTTTTAATCTTTGATGTAGACATACATTGGTTACAACGAATGTGCTACCATACGCAACCAATTCGAATTTTCATTTTTGCAGTTTAAATTAGTTTACAAAATACACTATCAAGTTCAGTAAAGCGACCTTTTGAAATCCCAACGATAGCCCTTTAGCCAGAAACTGATGAAAAAGAATCCCCCTTTTTGCGAAGCTGTGCAAATTTCAAGTCAAGACCCCTAGTTTATTCTGATAGGTGCCTAAATGCCAACTGAACTTTTCGAATAGCCAATATTATATTCTCACATCCCAAATTATTTCTCACTCTTATTTTTTTAATATTTTTCTATTAATTAATAGTGGTGAGTAGAAGATATTAAAAATTTAAAAGACTATGGAAGAAGTAATTTGAAGTGTGTGAATATAATCTCTTTAGCCAAATAAGAGAGATAGGGTAGGACGACATACCCTCATGAGTCCAATTGACATGTCGTTTCTTGCAAACAACAAACAAATTTAGGCCACTTCAACATGTGGGCCCATTTCAACGTAATTTCCTAGTGAGGTATGCCTCAACCTCAAGTAAAAAAAAAAAAAAAAAGTTGTCAATCAAAATTCTCTCTTGGGTTCGATGCTTCGAGCTAGTGAGTCTACTTGACTATAGACACGGACAGGTTGAAATTCCCTATAGCATCTTCGGGCCCGGAAGGGATGGATAACAGTGGCTTGCCACCCTTTGTCCCCCTTTTTACTTTTTTATTTTTATTTTTTAAAAACTCTAAATTAAAAATGTAATGCTCCATTTACCACATATTTGTATTATTATATGTACCATCTCTCTACTAGAGATAGGGCTCACGAGCAAATGTGGGTCTCAAATCTATTAGAGCTTCTCCACCAGTTGGTGGAAGACAAGGGCAAGGGCATGTACGTTGCCCTTACCACTCTGAATAGTACTTGCCCTTGTGCACCTCCACCGGTTTGAAAAGGATAAGGGCAGTAAATATATATATATATATATATATATTTTTTTTTTTAAGCTTTGAAAAAAAAAAATAAACAAGTGTTCAATTCTACTAAATTATTTTAAATATAAGGCAAAAGAATAGAATTACGACAAACATAATTAATTTAAAATTTGGTGAAAACTCCCTTAATCATATACCCAACTACGAAACTGAAACAACAATATAAAAAATCATTCAAAATTTTAATAATTTTTTCCTATTTTTTCAGATTTTTTTTTTAATGTAGATTATTCTTAGCCAACTGAAATAGGACGCACCAGATTGCGCCACGTGGCTTAACAATAATATTTTTATTTTTTACGGTGGGAAATCCAACGATCGAGATCCTCTGACTGTTGGAAATCCAACAGCCCATAACTCGTCACATTGCTATCCATTGAAGGGTTTTGTGATATGTGTTGCAGCGAGGCCATTGCTGCAGTGGTTGTCGGGCCACTCTCCTTCTAGGTGTGTGTAACTTGACATCAAAAAAATTAAAATATGCTCTGGCATCAGCATGACGTCATGCTAATGTTAGCTTGTCCGAAGGTAGTAGGTTGGACTTAAGAAGGTTGGCATCTGGGCTGGCAGGACTTGGTCCACCACTTCCCCTGATTTTATGGACTGCTGGAGAAGGTTTTTTTGGGTTGGAGGGCAACATTGTTGTCTTGACCCTTGCCTTCCATCAACCAGTGAAAACGCTCTTAGAAAGATGGTACAAATAATTTTTTTTCCTATTATTTTTTATTTTTTATTTTTTTTAATGTAGATTATTCTTAGCCAACTGAAATTGGACGCGCCAGATTGCGCCACGTGGCTTAACAATAATATTTTTTAAGGTGGGAAATCCAATGATCGAGATCCTCTGACTGTTGGAAATCCAACAGCCCATAACTCGTCACATTAGTTATCCATTGAAGGGTTTTGTGATATCTGTTGTAGCGGGGCCACTGTTGCAATGGTTGTCGGGCCACTCTCCTTCTAGGTGTGTGTAACTTGACATCAAAAAAATTAAAATATGCTCTGGCATCAGCATGACGTCATGCTAATGTTAGCTTGTCCGAATGTAGTAGGTCGGACTTAAGAAGGTTGGCAAGACTTGGTCCACCACTTCCCCTGATTTTATGGACTGCTGGAGAAGGTTTTTTTGGGTTGGAGGGCAACATTATTGCCTTGACCCTTGCCTTCCACCAACCGGTGAAAACGCTCTTAGAAAGATGATACAAATATGTGGTAAGAGTAGTATTTTTAAAATTTATAACCAAACAATATTTAGGTTGACGTTTTAGCCAAAATGATCCTTGAGATTGGTAGAACTTCTCACTTTGATTCATAAGATTTAAAATCAATAAAAGTGGTATCTGAATTTGTCCACCGTCAATCATTATGGTCATTCCGTGAAAAAAAATGTAAGCTAAATAAGACGAAAAAGACAAAAATACTCTTAAATTTTGTCAAATCATTTTGACCCATTGATTGTTAAAGTGAGGGGCATTTTTTTTGTCATTTTTGTCCTTCTTTAATAGAGATTTTTATGGAATGACCAAAATAATTAATGGTGGACAAACTTAGAGACCACTTCTATCGATTTCAAATCCCAGAGACCAAAGTGAAGAGTTATGCCAATCTTAGGGACCGTTTTGGCTAAAGTACCTATTTGGGTATTGTTAAAGCAAAAAATATCACATGTAAGCCTAAAACCGTCTCAAAGCCCAAGCCAAGGGTAAATACATGCGAAGGTACAAAATTGAGAATATTTACAATCATGCCATGCTAATAAAGTAATAAGTTATGGGAAGAATGTTTGTATTATCACACCAAGCACATGCGTATTCACCGCGTCAAGCTTTGACACCACATTGTTGTCGTTTACAAATCATGCAAACTATGATACACGTTCATGTAAGCTCAAGCCAAGTGTAAGAGCTTGTCAAGTGAATAGTGATGTGGATGGTCACTAAACCAAGTCCCACAGCATATGCCCCATTGTAGGCCTATCGCGAGTATCTTTCGCAGACATTTCTCAACCGTCTCACTAAACCAACCACAATTGAACCCTCCATTATCTCCCACCACAACAGCAACATTTGTACTCTTTGACATCTGATATCGGAGCTGATCCCTCCATTATTTCCAACATTTTCAGTCCATTTTGAAAGGCTGTTCTATTATAGACTCTGTCCTAGCACCTACACTGACGTTAATGAGTTCAGACTCATCTGAATTCACCACGAAATCAGAGTAGAAAGGGGAATCTAAACCACCAAAGTTGCCACTTGAATACAGGTTAAATACTACATTACCAGGTTCACCTGGTCTTTTAATGTCGGTAGGAATGCTAGACACCTTGTCCGGGTTTTCACTTCTTTGACATCAGTAGGTATGCTAGACACATTGTCCCAGTTTCTCCATCTTCTGTCAGTATCTGGTGACTTCCTGCCCGTCAACATTTACCCTTTTAAGTTGTATGCAGAACTAAAGGGAAACTACGGCTGTAATTCTCAAGGTTGAGGAGTAAAAGATAATGCTTGAGGAGTAAAATATATTTTTAACAAGCCAGGGTCACTGCCGAGAAGAACTCCTCTGTCATAGGAGACTGGCTACTATTGTTAGCAGAGACATTACTCAAAGTTTGAACTCAGAATTTGATACATCAAAAACTGCTTGAAAAGGCGAAACATCAAAAACAGCTACGGCCGGATTCATAGTAGGATTGTTGCCCAAAAATTCTAGCTGTATGCTGGAAGTTCATACTCTCTTTGCACTCAAGTTCAATATCCCTCCCCGTAAATTTGAGTAATTTCATCGAATCAAAATCCCAAATTCCTAAACGAGAAAAAAAAAATTAAAAAAATAAAGGTAAATTTGAAATTACCTGGTCGAGCAACCCAGAGAGATTGATGAAGAAGAAGAAAAAGGCTTGCTGGAGGCTTTGATGGCGTTGGGGTCGGATGAGAGGTGGTGGCTAAAAAGCGATGGCCAACATAATCTTCTTCACCTCATCCCTGAACTCTTCCAGATCCACCGTCCCACTATGGTCGCTGTCGAACTTGTCAAATATGGAGTCGTACAGCTGCGTCAGCTGCTCCAGCGGGGTGCCCATGTCGATGCCGAAGAGGGACTCGAAGGCTTTGCGGAGCTCCGACCGGGAGAGGACGCCGTCGCTGTTGAGAGAGAAGGGAGGGAGGGTTGTTTGGGGGTTGCAGGGGAGGTGGGGGTGGGGTGGGTTTCTGGATGAGAGGGGAGGTGAAGAGAGCGGAGGAGACGGAGGTTGGTCGGGGGAATGGGGTTTCTGGGTTTCAGGTAAATAGGGTAAACACGTGGCACAAATATGGAACGGATCAATGGGTCAATGAATGGAAAATGTAACAGATATATTATATTGAAATATAATATGAAAGTGAAATGTTTTGAAGATATTGTATGAGATTGCAATAGATCTTAAGGCTGAAATGGTAAAGTGTAATTTACCCTATTTTAAATTAAACACAAAAAGTACTTGATAAAAACTAATTTTACGATATACGATAAACGGCTGAAATGTGAGAATCCCAAAGATCCTCGTATAATAGATTCGGAGGGGATCATTTTCCCAAGAGAACTTGTCTACATTTATTACATTATTAGGACCCACCTGGGTATTTAATGAATTAAAAGTAAAAATTAAAAATTAAAAATGAAATGATTATCCAATAGGGTTGTAAAGAAAAGATGCTCGTAAATGAAGTTATGCTAATGTCAAACAAACACAATTTTACCAAATCAAAAATAAAAAATCAAACACAATTTAATCCAGTTTATAACTTTATTACCTCAAATTAGCATAAGAAAAATTGATTGAGAAAATACTTACCTAGGCACATCATCTTCATCAGAAGAAGAAGAAGAGGCAAATGCTCAAACTGGGTTATGCCAACTTCATTTTAATCTCGATGAACATGTACATTTGCTACAACGAATGTGCTACCATATGCAACCAAGTTCAAATTATCATTTTTTGCAGTTTAAATTAGTTTACAAAATCCACGGTCCAGTTCAGTAAAGCTGCCTTTTGAAAGCCCAAATACAACCTTTTAGCCAAAAACTGATGAAAAAGAATCTCCTTGTATGAAGCTGTGCAAATTTTAAGTCTTTACCCCTAGTTTATTCTAATAGGTGCCTAAAAGCCAATTAAACTTTGCGAATAGCCAAATAACAGAGAAAGAGTAGGAATGACATATCCTTATGTGTCCAAGTGACATGTTCTTTCTTGCAAACAACAATCACATTCGGGCCACTTCAACATGTGGGCCCGTTTCAAAAGGCCCCATTTTAGGCCTATCTAATTTTATCGACCTCAAGTGAAAAAAAGGATGTCAATCAAAATTCTCTCTAAAATATAAAGTAATGCAACATTTACCACATATTTGTATAACCACTCATGAGTCTCATCTCTAATCATATTAGTTTTATGGTGTTGGTGAGCCTGACCTCTATGCAATGTTTACCACATATTTACTACGTGTGTTGGTAAACCCTACCTCTATTACTTTAGTCATTGAATTTAATCACATTAGATCATAGTCGCTTGATTTAATGTGTTTATAAATATAAAACTAAAAAAAAATACACATACATGGTGTGCTAGCTCCACTAACTCGGGAGGAATCCTGGGCTAAATTTGCCCTAGAAATGAGTTTTTGGTTAAAACTCGCATTTGCCCCAAGGGTGGGAGCAAGTTGTGGTAAGTTTAGAACCTAAAATTTTAGTTTTACTCCAAGGGTTAAAGTAGGTCTTACTAATTACTCTGAATAGTAGTTGCCTTTGTGCACCTCCACCAGTTTGAAAAGGGCAAGGTCAGTAAATATTTTTCTATTTTTTTACGCTTTGAAAATAAAACAAGTGTTTAATTCTACTAAATTATTTCAAATATAAGGCAAAAGTATAGCATTACAACAAACATAATTAATTTAAAATTTGGTGAAGACACCCTTGTCCTGTAACCAACTAGAAATTGAAACAACAATGTAAAAAACCATTCTAATTTCTAATAATTTTGTAAGGCCCCTCTCTTCCTGGGTGCGTGTGTTACACACGCTTGACATAAAGCATGACGTCATAATGATGTCATGCTGGCCATCTAGGCTAGCAGTGGTTGGCTCACCACTTGCCCTTGATTTTATGGATTGGTGGAGAGGGTTTTTTGGGTTTGGAGGGCAATATTGTTGCCTTTACCCTTACCTTTCACCAACTGGTGGAGATGCTTTTAGAAAGATGTTACAAATATGTTGTAAGAGTAGCATTTTTAAATTCATAACCAAACAGGCAATATTTGGGTTGACTTTTTAGCCAAAATGATCCCTAAGGTTGGGATAACTCATCACTTTGATTCCTGAGATTTAAAATTGATAGAAGTGGTCATTGGATTTGTCCACCGTGAATCATTTTGATCATTCTATAAAAAAACCTACACTACATAAGATGAAAATGACAAAAATACTCTCAAATTTTGTCAAATCATTTTGGCCAATTGTTTATTAAATTACGGGGTATTTTTGTCATTTTAGTCCTTATTTAACAGAGTTTTTTTTCATGGAATGATCAAAATAATTGATGGTAGACAAACTTAGGGAACATTTCTACCTATTTCAAATCTCATAAACCAAAGTGAGGAGTTATACCAATCTCAGGGATCATTTTGGCTAAAATGCATATTTGAGTACTGTTGCCCAAAAATATCACATTCAAGTCTAATAACGTCTCGAAGCCTGAGCAAAGAGTTAATACATGCAAAGGTGCAAAATTGAGAATATTTCAATCACGCCATGCTAATAAAGTAATAATTTATGAGAAGAAAGTTTATATAATCACTCCAAGCTCTAAGCCTATGTGTATTCATTGTGTCAAGCTATGACACGACATTGTTGTCATGTACAAATCATGCTAACTACAATACACATTCATGTAAGCCCAAGTGAAGTGCTGGGACTTGCCAAGTGGATTGTGATATGGATGATCACAGAAGATTATCGTGCCTATGTGGATCCATAATTATGGAAGACTTTGGGTTGTTTGGGAGCACCAAAGACTCAAGCCGACAAACTTTGAAACCCACGTAGACAAGTTTAAGAGAGAACAAACCAAAACCTTTTTTTTTTACTAGCAAACCAACTAATTTAGTTAGAAAAGAACGAGAACTTAAGGTTTCAGCTCACATGAAAACCTAGTGCAGGGTGCCCATTATTGAAGAAAGATGAGGTCTTTCTTCTTCCCATCTCATGTAGGACAACGATGAAGGAAAACAAAGAGATGCATTGCCAGAAGCAGCGCATATGGAAGGCTAACCAAGGAAAAAGACGTCCACCAATGTTAGGCTAAAAGAGCAAGTTGTAACTGTACCAGGAAATAAGAGAAATGTAGACTTAGCTGAAACATAAGTAAACGGGGAAACCAAAGAATTCCCTAGGGAAATCCAAGAAAGCTACCCTCCACCTATATAAAGGTACATGAGACACAACGTAGAGAGATAACGTAACACAGAGAGAGAGAAATGAAAGGACTCAGGATTGCATCACAACAAACCGAGAAATCCTTCTCTAAAGTGCAGACAGTCTTGGATCCTTAGGGAAATCATCCTTTAGGGTTCTAAGGTTTCCTTTAGGTATCTTTTGAGTTTCCTAAGCCACAAACCCTTAGGAAGCCAAAATTACCCACCCTTTAAAATCATACAACCAGGCACAGGTTCTCTCTCATGCTAAATTGGTAAACTTCTAGCTTCTACACCACGCCTCACCTAAGCAAGCCGTTATTTGCTTAAACATGCCATCTTTGAGTTATTAATCAACTAGGATACTTTCTAAGACTTGGTATGTAAATGAACCAAGGGAAGCAAAATGTTACTAGCCAAGGCCCAAGTCTAGCTTAACATAAAAGTCTACCAACAGGTACTCACCACTACAAGAAAACATGGCTTAGGTGGTGACGAACATTCGTCACATAAACATGAAAATTTGTCACATTTGATTATATATGACGAAAATTCAACGTCACTATGTTTGTCACTTATACAGCGTCACCTATAGTTCATGTGATAAATTTTACATTCGCCACATATTTTTAGTATTTGTGACACCAAATTCGTCACTTAATAACTTTAACTGTGATGAAAGAAGCATCACAAAACATAAAAGTCAATGACCTATAAGTTCATCACATAACAAATGTATAAGGGAGGAATTTATCGTCACCCAATTTGATCCTAGAATGCTATGGCTGAGAATAAGTGAGACTGAAAGCGTCACATATTCCTTTGACATGTGGTGCAATTTTTGTCACATGTGTCAAAATCATAAACCTATTAGGAACAATTCGTGACAAACCAATTACCACATATTCCCTGCTTCGTCATCTAGAATTAGAATTCATAATAATTAGAGGCAATACTTTAGTTAATCACATTTCATTGATCAATAAGTTAGATTACATCCAATACATACACCAAGTTTATATCTCAAAAGCTAACATAAGCATCCTAACACCTCTAAACATATTGAGATGCTAACAAGATTCTAAGGCATTGAGTCGGTAACAAAACAGGTATACCGTGTGCATATTTGAAACCAACAACAAAATACATAATATAAGTCATCATCCATGTCATGATCTTTAGTTTAGCACATGTATCATTGTCATTTGAAAGATCACCATCACTACCTCAAGTGCTTCTTGAATACTTTCTCCTTTAACTCCATCCTTCTTTTTCTTAATCTTATTCTTACATAATAAAAGAGAAGATAAAAAAAACATTGGTGTCTAGAGAATAGCAGGTGCATTGAGAAATTGAAAACAAAAGAGAAGAAAATAGGAATTGAAGGAATAGTTAACAGTAAGAAGAACGAAACATAATAGGCGAGCCTATCTAAATTACACAATGAGTTTTATATGTACTTTAATTTCATTACCTTGCGAGCCTTCCTTGCATGTTGGATGAAATGGTTTTGCCCCTCCCTTGTGGTAATACTTTTGTTTCTTACAATTATATGAATTTTGCTTGAAAACATCCAACATTAAAAGGCCATTAATTAACAAGAAAAACATATCTAGTTTCATACCATAGACTACTTATTCACTGTAATTTTAACACATTCAGCTTTTATAAAATCAAATTGATATCACTATTAATGAAGGCTAAATTGATGTCACTACCTCTGGAGATGTTGTTGGTCCGCCCTTGGCTTGCAACCCTTCAGTTGTGCTATCATATCCTCATTTTCTTTTGGTGTATCTGATTTCACTAATTTATCATATCCTAGTTAGTAAGTTATCAAGACTCCAAATGTTAGGACTAGATAATCTACTAACAAAAGATAAAATTAACAAAAAAACTACTTAAATTATAATTAAACTTCTAATTTAAAAGGAAGTAAAAGCCAATGCTTAAACAGAACTGAGCAGTTGAAAATATATACAGGAGAAATATATGCGTTTCTTAAATCCTTCTTTATATAGTTTTTCACGGTTTTCTAGGACTCCAAATAATAACACCAATAAACAGAAAAGACATTGCCACTAATAATTAGAAGAAAGAAAATCATCTATGATGGGGGAAATCATTCTGCTTGCCCAGGAGACCATTTTCAATATTTTTTCAAATACAGAGCACTTAAAAGAATTATGGTTCAAATTTCAGAGCAATTCAAAGCCAAATCACACAACTTTCCTTTTCAATAAATGGTATCACCAACTCAAAATTTTGTACCTTCAATCACCATGTAAAACCAATAAGCCTAGAAAAAAAATACCAACTTGCAAGTTCATAACAAACAAAAAATTGAAATAGAAAGACCAAATAAAACAACTTATTAAAGCCTCCATATGTGCAAATAAATCATTTGAATAATCCCCAACTATTACCCAGAATAAAATAGCCAGAGACAAATACATATAATCTCACAAGGAAACAAAATGTAGCTAGAAAAAAGAAGAAATTCTTACAAGTTTCTTTGCTAAAGTTATTGATTAATGTTCATTCCTTCAGTTTTTTTGTTTGTAAATTTGTGAATGTAGACCTGCAAGTTCCAAAAACAAATAGAAAAAGCCAGGGATATATATATATATATATATATATATATATATAATATAAATCTAAAAATTAAAAACCAAATTTTACCCAATTAGAGTCCTTGAAAGATGGATGAAGAGGTCGGGGGCTGCTGGCGTGCTCAATTTGGAGGCAATTACCAACAAATCCAAAATCCTAAGTTAAAAAGAATGATAAAAATTGAATTCGTTAACCATTTGGCCACATAGTAGTCTTGTAGGCGTGGAGAAATTTAGCATAGATTTATGCAGTTGGTGGAAAGGGTTTCTATGGTTCTTGGGTTTTCGGTTGTGGCGCAAGAAACTGGTAGAAGGTTGAGATGCGACAGGGTGTGGATTTGGCTTGTTGGTTGAATTGGTCTCTAGGGTTTTTGGTTGTGGAGTGTGATAGACAGCGAATATATGAGAGAGGGTTTGAGCATTTGGCTTAGAAGATCCCGGTAATGTCGCGGTAGAGAGAGAAGAAGATTAAGAGACGTGTCGGTTGGCTTGGGTCACAGCGATGAGAAATGGGAGAAGTCTGTAAAGTGAAAGTGAAAGAGAACGGTTTAGAATTTAGATGGGCTTTCTCAAATTTGTATAATACTTTACTATGTTTCTTTTTTCTTTTTTTATTTATTTACTGTTGGAAAAGTGATGAATCACTTTCGTCACCGAGAATACACATATGTGACCCTTTTGCAATTCCTCACATATCATACTTCGTTAGGACGCCATTGTTCTTCGCCATAGATTTTAGTAAGGACTTCAAAAAATTTGTGTCACCACTTTTTCATCTTAAAAGATATAAAATAATTTTAAGTGACGCTTATGATTTTTGTCACTCCATTCTAGAATATGTCATGTATTTATCGTCACCTAAGTGTTCTCAAATTTCATACCTAAAAAACTAGTCATGCGTGACGCTCTGAACAATTCGTCACATATAGAAAAAATATGTGACGAATTTTGAGCGCCACATAAAATTTGGTCACCTATTCCATGTTTTCTTGTCGTGAGTACCCAATATCCTGACCTTGTTACATGGAACAATTAGGAAACTACACCAGTCTGTCTTAACTCCCTAGACACATAACCAAACGTCATTATTTTGATAGCGAAAGATTCACCATTCCACTTGCCAAACACCATTCTTCTCCTTCGTTGCCCAACCTTCAATCTCTAGAGAGCAACATTACCTCACTATGTCTCTTCTCCAGCAACCCCTCTTCTCCAATGACCCACCCTCACTCCAGTCTCTTCTCCGGCGACCCATCCCCATTCCATCTTCCCAACAACCCACCCTCACTTAGTAAAACTGGGGTTTGGAAATTCACAAAATTACAGCTTGTGGAAAATCACAAGATTATAAGTTGAAAATTGTTTATTTAGAATTCCACACTCTAATGATAGAAAGAGAAGGAGATGCGTAAGGGGAAGTTGTGAAAGGGGTGGTTAGTGGCCAACAATGACGATGGTGGAGAAGAAAATCCGATGAAGGTTGGTAAAGGAGAAGAATGACATCTGGATATTAGAATAGAGAATGTTCGGAAACTAATTTCAGTGAAGTGTTTGTGAGTTCAAAATGGACACGTGTCATTTGATATGATGGTCAATATGTTGGATACTCCTCGATGAGTACCCAAGTATTGTTCTAACTAAACAACCAACTCCGACATTTCCTCATAATGCAACATTCTTCTCCCCTGATGAAGCACCTTTACTCATACTCGCTTACTGGTCACAACTTGTGCTAGCTTCCTCTCCTTGGTGGCATGGTTGCATTGAGAAAAATAGGCTGGATTGGGGACAGGGTCGACGCAGGAGAGAAGCAAAAGGGTGAGACTTGGATGTGGTTGATGGAGGATTTGTTATCGATTTGGTATAAATGGTTGGATTCGAAGTTTGAAAAAACTCTAATGACAAACATTTAACTGGTGGGAGCGGACAGTGGACGGTGTATGTGGCTAGTGGGAGAGGATGGTGGTTGGAGAAATTTTGGCGAGAAAGAAGAAAGACATTTGGTTAGAAGAATAACGTTGTTGGTTTTGAGTTTAGAAGATTAATTGTGAGTATAGAGAATTAAAATATAGACATGTGTTATTATTTAGTTAGGCCACGTCCTGACTAATCAGAACCCAAGAATTAACCATTTCAGACCCACTGAGAGTCAAAACTCAAGAAATGTCAGGAAGATTAAATTTATAGATTAAATATACAAACTAAATGATGTGTCTCCAACCAAAAATAAGCATAGTAATCGATACTTAAGTAATAATTCAATCTTCAACTTCTACGTCATTTAATTTGCAAAATTTAGTCTCTCTAACATGCAAAACTCACACCATTCATCCTCCATGAAAACTACTCAAACTCTTAGCCAACTGTTTCAGACTTTTTAGTAATTTGATTGGTCCATGGTTTCAAGCAGCCTTCCCAATTCCCATGTCACTTGTCATTCTCCACCAATTCCTATATACAAAACACACAGCGAAACCATTGTCAAACAATTCCACAATCCAAAACAGAAGGCAACTTGTTGCTCAACTCGTTAAGAGGGCTTACCTCTGTATCCAATGTCTAGCGTTTGAATCCTTCTTTTCCAATATGGATCCGCAACAAATCCAAACCAAGACAGAGCGACGAGGTGTTCAGTAAAAGCCTAGTTTGACTCTACCGCCCCAAAGCAGCCCATCAAGCCAAGCTGGAGAGAACCCGATTCAAACCCGGTTCACTACTCTGTTGTCTACCAACAGTCCACCATTCCAGCGTTGGACAAGTTTCGTTCTCTTGAGTCTCAATCTCCTGTTGTTATACTCCCACGATGGAAAATGAGTTTATGGGTACTGAGTACTACAAGGAACTCAGTTCCATCGACAAACAGCATCACACAATAATTTTTTTTTTTTTTTTTTTTTTTTACTTTTTTGAAAAATTAGCCAAAAATCGTGTTTCAAATTCCAATTACTGAAATGATCCATTTTGTTTATCATCGGAAATATTAATCGTCTTTCATATTTTAATATTGATCTTGAGTAGTTGGGGTTTGATTTTTTGACCATTTTAGAGCATCTCCAATATAGATATCAAAAAATACATGTCAAATGTTTATTTGATGGCTGAATTATTATTTAATCATTTTTTTGTAAGTTAATATATCCTTTGTTTTAGTAAGGTTATGAATTTAATTGGGTCTGGTTTTGATTTGAATTGGATTAAATTGTTCAAACCGGAACTGGGTTCATAAGGGTGGTGAGAGAAAAGGGCAGTGAAGTTGATGGGTTGCATCTTCACTTGTGTGAGAGCCATGCTAGAGTGGGACTGAAGATGATTCAAAAACAACCTTAGACCTATTCCAACTCTTAGGCTTTCCCCAACCCTGGGTTAAAAGCTAAATTTTAGCTTTTATTCCCCCCCCCCACCAAAAAAAAACCCAACCCAAACTAAATGTGTGGGCTAAAACCTAAAAGCGAATATAAAGCCACATTCCGCCTAGATTTTAGCCCAGAATTTTGTGTGGGCCCTACCAATTTGACTGAAACTGAGCGGTTGTGTGCCAAATACCCCCCACCCACTCACCAGACGCACATGATGCACAAGCATTCACACTGACTGCGCCCCACCCACGTGGGCATGTCGGCCACATTCCTCAGCCGAGCCAACGACTTTTTTGATCCTACGGATGGAATCAACAGGCTGCTGGTTGATCCAATGGCCTAGATTCAAACTTTTTTTAATTTTTATATTTATTGAATCCAATGACTGAGATCGAATATAATCAAATCTATCTATATAAAAAAAAGATCTAATGGTCTAAATTTAAATCCAATGGCTAAAATAATTAATAAAAAAATTATTTAACTTAAAATTCACCCAAAAACTCTATAAATACCTATGTATTTGTTCAAACATCCACACAAAACTCACTTTTCTCCTACAATTCTTCCAATTGTTCTTTCTCCCATTTCCAATTTTTCCAAGATGACAAAAGAGCATGTTAGATGTCGTAATTGGACCTGTGAGGAAGATGTTGCTTTACGTTTGGCATGAGTTTCTATTAACGAAGATGGTGTTGTTGGCACAAACCAAAATAAAAAGGCTTTGTGGGGTAAAATCGTTGATAAGATCCATGAAAACATTAACGCCGGGCAAAGGGAAGGTGGTGGTGTTTACGATCGGTGGAAGGTTATCAACAAAGCGTGCACTTTACGAAAGGGAAGCTTGGAGAGAGCCGTGGTTGACATGGCTAGTGTAAGGAGTGCCGCAGAAATTGTGAGTTTCTTGCTGATATTTTATTTGTCATGTACATAATATTATTTTGCAACTAATTGTTTTTTTGTATTTTTTGCATAGGGTGACAAAGCAACGACAATTTACAAGACAAGAGTAACACCAAAAGGACAGCCTTTTAAGTTGCATCATGCTTGGGACGTCCTTAAGGATTGTCCGAGGTGGGGAACCAATGCAGACCAATAATGGGGAAGATTATTTCAATGTGAAGTTGCATCGAAAAATGATGGAGATGAAGGTGTCAATGAAAGTGGTGCTGAATTGACAGCAACTTCTCTTTTGCAAGGCCCCTGGGAAGAGATAAGAAAAAGGAAGCAAAGAGAAAAAGGAAGTCCCAAGATCCGATGAGTGCACAAATTGCTTCCGGATTTGCAAGATTGACCGAAAGCCATTACTCTCAGCAAGAAGCGGCCCATATGTGTTTGGCCATAAAGGAAGATGGGGATAGGGAGCAAGAGAGGTTCTAAGTTAATTTCATGATAGAGGACATCAACAAATACACTCAAGAGAGGAAGAAGTTCTTACGTGGTAAGCAAAATGAAATTTTGTGAAAGTATGCCACAAGGAGTATATTTCAAGATGATGATT